TATGTATATATGTATGTATGTATGTATATATGTATGTATGTATGTATATGCATGCATGCATGCATGCATCTGTATGTACATGGTAGCTTGCACTCTTGCGCAATTACTATCGACGTCTCTGTCGTTTCTGCTATAGCTGTCTTTGGTATTGCGTGAAATTGCATTAGAGCGATGGTATTTCTTATCGCGCGCATACAACTGCTGTTTGCAGTTTGTTGCATGTTCAAACACAAGCTTAGGAGATTGTATAGCAGCAAAACGCAAGAGATGCTTGTTACAAAATAAATGGTGACTAAATAACATTGAAAGTAAATTACAGACAGTGCAAACTATTACGTTCGTTGAGAAGTAAAATGCTTAAAGTGTTTCAAGTCTGGTTTAGCCGCATTTCACTTTTTGCAAAGCATTACGTACATGCCCATGCTCGTATGTATATATGTATATATACATATATATATATATATATATTGCCTATTTGTACGTAATCTAACATTAAGCATTTACCATTGACAAATTCTATTGCATAAATATGTAAATACACACACTATTAAATGCATTATTTATATATATTCTGACTATATTCATATATATATATATATATATATATATATATATATACAGACAAATGCAACTATTTACGATGCGTCTCATATCAAAACTACACGGAAAGAATGAATATAAATATATATATTATACGGAAAGAATAAGTGCCCCGCTTATGGATATCTATCCTAATCGGAAGTAAAAAAGGAAAAAAAAAAAAAAAAAACTAACTAACTATTAACATCATGTATTAATCCTTTATTTACTTGATATTGAAGCTTCTGGCTTCGTATGACAATTACATACAATTCGATTAAAAATGTAATCAATTGTTTGTCTGATCGTCTATATTCGTTTTAAACTAAAACGATGGAAATATGAATACAATCGGGCAAATAAACTAATAAACCAAACGTTTTCACTTAAAGGAAATAACAGAAATTGGACATTGAACGCAAACTCGTCTAACTTTCTTTTATCCCATAATATTCTATATTAGCCGACACGTAACACACTACATACATATATATATATATATATATATATATATACGTATCGATATGCATTTACCTATGCGTAAGTAGATGAAATTTTGAAAAATTGAGACGCACCAAATTTGGATTTGCAAGATTCAAGATTGCTTAATAATATATATGTACCGGCAAAGTAAACGGAAGAAGCAAAATGTTTTTTTTTTTTTTTTTTTTTGCATTTGGGTTATTCTCTTATTTAAATATATTATAAATTAAATGCAATAATTTTTTTCAGATTTTCTCTGCATGAAAATAAGAAAAGAAGAATAGCATCAGGTGTCCTCAACTACCTCGTCTATCTATATCGTAATCCATCTCAGGGAAGGAATTTTGCTGCTAATTTGAAAAAGAACAAAAAAAAAAGAAAAAAAAAGAAAAAGAGGAAATAACATGGGAAATAGTTTTTTACCGTTTAGCTAGTAATTATTCACTAATTCATGTAGTATTCGAGCTACATTTGAATAAATCATTGCTTAATGCTTTAACAATTTGTTTGATTATCCGAGGATTAGAAGCAAGTATGCATCGATTAGAGAGTGCCAAAGTTGAAGGTGCGACGTTACAAAATTATAATAATCTTGAAATGAATACAACAACATTATGCAGTGGCCTGGAAAATAAGAATGTGCGACTTGTGAATGATAATTTACCTAACGGTAATGGTCATAATAAAATGACACGTCGTGATTCGACGCACGCCTGGACGCCGTTGCTTGCAAATCCAAGCGGAAATATAAATCATAATCAAGAGATTAAAAGAGACGAATTCTTTAATGAATCGAAAACTGATCTCTGCACTGAAACTATTAGTAATAATAACGATTGGAAAGATTCCGAGGAAGTGAATATAAATGGTATAAAAAATGATTTAATTCAAAAGCATACCAACAACAACGAATTACTGGGAAATGGGAATAATGGCAAGGTGTTATCGCTCAAATATGAAGAGCAGGATCCTTTAACGGGACTATGCAAGACGCACGTTAACAGCTCTCAGGTTGAAAATTCCAATAGATTAGAATTTTATTCTGAGCAAAATACGAATACGCGTAACGTTAACGGCTGCGGACTATTTGGATGTCGACCGAAATGGGCCCGTCGACTGGCATCAACGAACATGTTTATGGTCGTTTTTCTATTGGCCTATATCCTGCAGGGCATGTACATGACCTATTTTGTCTCAGTTATTACAACTATTGAGAAACTTTTTCAAATTAAATCGAAAACAACAGGCGTTCTATTAAGCGCTAGCGAAATGGGTCAAATAAGTACAGCGATGCTGTTAACCTATTTCGCCGGACGTGGACATCGTCCGCGATGGATTGCCTGCGGGATGGTTATGTTTTCAGTTGCTGCCTTTGCCTGTGCACTCCCTCATTTTATATTCGGTGAAGAATTAGTGCAATCAGCTGTAATTCTCTCCTTCAAGCCGCACGAAGAAACACAAACGCAAACATTAAGTTCCAGTTTTAATATACATTTACCCATTACCAATGCCAGTCTGTTCGAAACGGAACGTTTATCTCACGCATCGACAAAAGCTCTTCACGTTCATTCAATTATGGAGTTACCTAACATGAATCTCTGCCAGATTGCGACTAACTCGAATGGTACAAATTCCGGTAAATTATATTGAAATTGCGTACTAATGTATATACGGCATAAACAAACCAAAGATTATTCTCGTTTTCTTTATAGATTGTAACGAAAATCGCAAGCTTGAACAAGCATCGCATTCTAAAATTACTATTATTGTATTATGCATTTTTTTTGCTAGCTTGCTCAGTTCCGGAATTGGTCAAACTGCTGTTGCGACTTTAGGAATCCCTTATATAGATGATAATGTATCCAGTAAACAGTCGCCTATGTATATGGCGATAACTATTGGTGTTCGAATATTGGGACCCGCATCTGGTTTTATAGTCGGCTCTTTCTGCACACGTTGGTACGTAACACTTGCCAATCCAGGATTTAACGCTAATGATCCACGCTGGATTGGGGCTTGGTGGTTAGGTCCAGTTATTATTGGTAGCCTTATGCTTTTGTCATCAATAGCCATGTTTTCATTTCCGAAACAGTTGCATAGCAAAAAACTACCTGTAACCAGTAAGCCTGAAAACGATGCGATTATAAAAAATGCATCCGAACCCGAGGAAAAACCGAAATTAAAAGGTCGGCTCTATATCAATGATATCGCATAATAAGAGAAGTAAATCTTTATTTCTGATAGATTTCCCAAAAACGGTTCGGCGACAACTAAGCAACGACATACTCATGTTCCGGACGGCTTCGTGCGTTTTCCATCTCCTACCTATTTCAGGTCTTTATATATTTTTACCGAAATATCTAGAAACTCAGTTTCGCCTCGCTCCGTACGATGCCAATATGATAGCCGCTTTCTGCGGTATACTGGTAATGGGAGTGGGCATTGTTGTTTCTGGTCTAGCCATATTAAAACTGAAACCAACCGCCAAAGCGGTAGCTGCATGGATTGCCATTACTGCTCTTATTTATTCAGCCGGTATGTTAATTCTAATGTTTGTCGGCTGCAATATGAACGACTTTGCTGGTTATGAACCAGCTAACGGCGCCACGTAAGTATATATATATATATTTGTATATATATATGTTATGTTAAAATCGATCATTATAAGCCAATGCCTGCCGTTGTATAGATTAGCTAGTATAAAGCCAGCCTGTAATGCGACTGCAGATTGTACGTGCGATAAAGAAGAATTCGCACCCATCTGTGGAATTGACGGCAAAATTTACATTTCCTCATGTCACGCAGGATGCTCAATAGCGTCCATACGCAAATCAGATAATCATACGATTTTCTCGAATTGTGTATGCATTGAGAATGAAGGTAATAATAATGTCCTACGCGTGCAGCATTAGTGAAATATATCGTTATAATTCAAATTATTAGTGTTTTCATATTTTTGTTTTTGTTTTCTTTGCTCTCCTTTCTTTATTTCTGTATTCAGCGGCTAACGTTACGAAAGCTTATGAAGCGGAAAGCGGATATTGCACCAGTAATTGTAAAAATTTCCTCATTTTTATTTTTGTTTTTGTCGTATGTGTATTTGTGCATTCAACGTCCGAAGTGGGAAGTATGTTATTGGTAATGCGATGCACTCATCCGAAAGGCAAGTTTAATTAACATTTAATTAATATTTAATTAATATTATCTAAAAAATAAGGAATTATTGATTGATAATAAAATCGCTTTAGATAAGTCAATGGCCATGGGTGTTATACAATCCGCGATTGGCCTATTCGGAAATGTTCCTTGCCCTATAATATATGGTGCCGTTGTAGATTCAGCGTGTGTCGTATGGAAATCAGTATGCGGTAAACACGGCGCATGCTCGCTATACGATGCAGACAGTTTCCGACACTTTTACTTGGGTAGATAGATATATACATATGCATACAAAAAATCTAAATACAATTAATTATACTAACAAAATCGTTATTACATCGAATCTTTATAGGGATGACTGCCGGCATTATGTTTTTAGCGTTTATAATGGATTTGGTTGTTTGGAGTAAGGCTCATCGCATCGATATTGAACCTGAAGAGCATAATGAAAATAAATCTGCCGATGTCGATAATAAATCATCGTCTCCGAATACCAGTGTCTAAAAGTACCACCGTGTAAAAGTCTCAAAAATCGCACTTCGTTTTTTTAGCACATTTAAATATATATATATATATAACTCTTTTATTTTGTACGATTTTAGGTTAGATAAACAAACATCCATAAAAACGTGATTGTTTTACATACATATATGCTTATATACCTACCTAACATATATGATGAAAATATTCATATTATATGAAATGGATGTGATTAATTAATTTCTTAAGTGTATGCATGTGCAATCAATATCACACCCATTCCATTCCATTTCTAATTATTATATAACAAATTTAATTAGAAATAATTTAGAATAGCGTCATCTCTTTATAAATGCAATACGCAGATTTGTACATTTATTATGCATTATCTGACGCCTGCATAGTTCATGATCAATAACTGTACATTTTTAATTATCAAAGTTAAAATTTGTTCCAACAAACATAGTTTTACAAAAAGAATAAGAATTAGAAAAAAGAAAAAACAAAAAAAACAAAAAAAAAAAAAAAACAAAAAAAAAAAAGAGATAAAAACGATTTAGAATTATCTAAGTTTCGTGCTTTACTTTAATTAAGTCTTATGAACATTCACTGTAATTTTCATTTTATCTGTGGTAGTTAAATTTTAGTTCAAATCGCTGTCAACAAATAAAGAATATAGGAAAAAAAAACTCTTCTCAATATGAAATAAAAGGAAACAGTCAGAGAATACATAGTTAACTTCATGGAATTAATTAATTATCTTATCGAACACATTTGAATAAAGAAATAAACAAAAGATTTTCTAAGCTTAACACAAATGTTATGCGTAAGCTTCCTGGGGCTGCATAAAATCATCAGTTCGGTGTGCTAAGTATCAAAAATTAAATATATTCTCCCTAATAGTTTCCCTTCGTTATCAGCTTTAGCTAGAAAAATGAAATTAAATTAACTAACAATTTTGTATGTCGCTGTCGCGCCCTGAACTTTCCTTGATGGTAGTTACAGAAAAATTTTTAAAAATTACCAATACTGTTAAATAGAAAATATTTATTAATATAAATAACTGAATGTATGGACAATTTCATCTTTACATAGAACGTGGTGAATTTTTTTTTTTTTTTTTTTTTTTTTTTTTAAAGTAAAATTGCGCACACACTCGCAGACTGCATTAATTTTAAATTTTATAAATTTGCGGCGAATATAATGTGAAAAGCAGTGTTTAAGCGCCATTTTTTTTTTTTTTTTATTTCGGACAGTCACACTCAGGTATTTTATATTACATTATCACGAAGACAACTAATAATGTTGAAGGTTTGTAATCAATCTTTTCTGTTATACAAAGGTTTTTTTTTTTTTTTTGTACATAAAACACCCAACCATGAACAACGAAAAATTGGAAAATTATCGTCTGAAAGGTCAAATAAAATGAAATGCTTGCTTGCTACTGTAATTGTAACTGTCTATTGTCTTATTAATAACAAATTGCTTAACGTAAAGCAGATGATAAGCAATAATGATTTAATTAACAATCAATGTTAACGAGATTAACAAACATGAATGAACAAGTTGAAGTAATAAAGAAAATATATAAGTATTTAAAATGAAATGAGATTAATGTAATCAATCAGCTGTCTGAGGCCCACAGTTTAAAGGTGCGGTCAAAGGATGTCGTCAGTATATAATGCGAATCAGATGATATACCTAAGGATACAACCTTACCATCGTGGCCTTCCAGTGTCTTTAGCGGTTGCCAAGTTTTGTTAGACCATATTTTGGTTGTGCAGTCATAAGAACACGTAGCAAGAAAACTGCCGCCGTCACGTTGATATTTCACATCCGAAATCAGATTAACATGTGCAGGAATTGTGTACACAGATTGACGTCGTCTTAGATCCCATATTTTGCAAGTATTATCTTGTGAACCAGTAGCAATATGAAAACCGTTCGGTGAAAAATCGACTCCAAATATCGAGCCTAAATGTCCTTCGAGGAACATAATACAACGACCTACGGATATATTGATTGATATTGGGGGCATTTACAAACTAAAATATTAACTTAAACAAACCTGTACGCAAGTCCCAAACACGTCCAAAAGCATCCAATCCACCTGTAACAATAACACTGCCGTCAGCTTGGAAAGCCAAACAATGTACCGATTTCGCGTGGCCTTCCTGATGCAGAACTTCGGTTTTTTGCTCTAAATCCCAAAGGCGCCATGAGGCATCGTAGCACGCTGTAGCTAAAAATCGGCCAGAAGGGTGAAAATCAAGCTTGGATACTCGATGAGGCATATGCCCAGTAATATCTGCAATAGATTCCTCAGAACCAAAGGACCATAGTTTAACTGCTCCGTCATGACCACCTGAAGCCATGGCTACAATGTTTTTCTCATCATGTTGTACATTTGGGCGAAATGCAACACCGCCGACATAACTTGTGTGTCCACGCAATGTTTGCTGCAACTTACAGTCAGGGACACTCCATAATTTGCAGAGTCCGGACCAAGACGATGTTAACAAAAATTTTGAATCGTTGCTAAAAGCACATCCGCTCAGTGGGCGAGTATCTCCCACTTGACTACTGTGCGCCGATAAAGATTGTAAACGTTTCTGCAATTCCACCATTCTACCGGCTCTGGTGGCACTTGGTACTTTCAAGTTTTGGCGCGCTTTTTCTAAACGACATTTTGCACGCGGCAAGGAATAATCAGCAATCCATAGCCTAGCTACTCTCAATGTTTCCGGACCTTCGTGGTACCATGTACTTTCCTGCTCCTTTTGCAGTTGCTTACGTTCCTCCTCTTCATTCTTCTTTTCTTTAATGGCATTTTCACCCAGGCTTGCCAACAGTTCTTTAAGCCGTCTACGTCGCTCTGCTGGCCCTTCACCAAAATAACAAATTGGTTCATTCAAGTACCTTAAGTTGCGTTTAATTTCCGCGTCATCGGTTGATACATTAATTTGGCGTGCTCTCTTCTTGCGCTCAAACTCTTCCAAAAGTGCTACCTTATCTTTAGCAACTTCTGTTTCCAAATCAAAAAAATCATCGTCTATTTTGTTCACTAAAGCTCCAGCAGTGGGAAGAGGTGCAGCTGGCGGGGACGGTGCAGACTTCTTTTGTTCCTCATAATCTTCATCGGAATCGATGTCCTCTAATTGCGACGAAGACGATGCTGGAATTCCGGCCGAAGACGCGGCAAGCCGTTTACGTTCTGATTCTTCAAGTGAACCGTAATGCAATGTTCTCTGACGTTTCACATATTTGATATCATCATCATCAGACATCGTGGTTTTACAATTTATATTAAAGTAAAACTAAAAATCAGATATTTTAGAACACAAATACTTCCAAAACCCGAAAAAATGCTGAAACCATTAAATTATTACACTAAAACAGCAAAAGTATAAGAAATTACCGGCGCAAATTATCCCATGGTTGTATTTACTGCCATACTAAATGTTTGCAATACTGCAAAGGTCAGCTCAAGAGCTGCAAACAGACATGAAAATAAAAATCTTTTTATTTACATAACTTTTATTGCAATGAAGACAAAGATGCGGCAAATCACATCTTTAAAATTACTTTTTTAATTTGAACAATTCCACATAAAGAAATTAAAATACGACGGAAAAGTATAGAAAATAAAAAAAAAAGACTAATTTGAACTAATAGTGTTCGCATAATTAACTTTCTAGGAGCTTTTGTCCATACAAATAGTGTGAATGAAAGAGTAAATCTTTAAACGGCTACTAATTAACAGCGCTACTGTTGTTATTGATAACAGAAATACCAAAAATTTCTGAGATTTTCCTGTTTCTAGTTCTGAACTAAATATTTGAACATCTTATCACTTAGTTGTATCTGATTGAATGTCATGAAGCACTTTCTATTAATTTCTTGTAGCGGAAAACAATAGATTCTGCCATTTCCCTCCACATTACGGAATTGTTGGTTATTAGGCAGTTGATATAAAGCTGTACCTATATTTAGCAACATTAAAATTTAAGGATTTGTAACATATATAAGGTTATCGTGCAGTTGATTTAAGGTAACGGTTGGAATCTTATGCTTTATATCTTATTGGAATACGCTGAAATTAGGACTACAAATGATGAAATAAAAGAAAAATTTCAAATAGCCGAGCCAAGCAGCTTGAATCTAACATCCTAAATAAATCGTATTCTAAGCAAAACCAGAGGAGTATTTTTCGCGAGATTTGCTTAATTTGAAATACTCTGCAAGCTTTAAAGTGACTGCTGTGTGAATGTGAATCAAAAAAAAAAAAAAAAACAGGTGCTTAAACCATCCATGTCCATCGATAGTAAACCATGTAGAAATTTGAAGAATTTGATAATGCTTTGCATCAACGCAAAACGCAAAGCAAACTATATGTGGAGTGACTTATAAATACACACAATCAATTTTATTTAGACAGTTCTTGCGTCAAGTAAAACCGCGTAAACGCAGTGAGTGTATACAGCGCATAAATGAGACAAGCAATCACATTATTTTTTTCACAATTTGTTCCTTTTATGGCAAAAGTACGATTAACATATATTGCAAAAACAATAGAAAAAATTTCTTGAAAATCACCAATTTCGAAGATTGAATTTTTATCATTTTGCCATTTCACTCTAGCTACCTGAAAACGTAGCTTTCTCTTTTTAATCAATGTGCATAATCGACACACGTGCGAACAGTCTTTTCAATTTGTAATCGGCGGCAGCTAAACACTGACATCCTAAATAAAAACATCGCAAATTGCGTTAGAAAGGTAAATTGCCGAGAGGGGTGAAGATGTGTGTTGCAGAAAACGACGTAAAAGGAAATGAAGTTTTAGTGTTCGTAGTGATGTGTTAAAGAAAAATTGAAAACAATTGAAAATAATTTTAAAAAACAGTTTAGAAAAAATAGTTAAGTTTAATTGTGTAAGCATTTCGGAAGAGTTCATACGCGATGGAAGAAGATTGGACAGGCAAAGCTGTATCTATAGAATGCAATAAGCAGCTAGGCATCTTTCAAGGAATTATCTCTCAGTGTTCACCTTCTAAAATTACAATTATACGAGCCTTTCGCAACGGAGTGCCTCTCAGAAAGCAGAACGCTGAGGTGACGTTACGTTCTTCGGACTTAGTTAAAATAAGTCTCTTACCATCGTATAATGTCCATAATACTGTGATACCGACAGTCATTAAAAAGCCAACACCAGTAAAGCAGCCGAATTTCGTAAGTACGGGGAATATTAACACAACGCATAATGGAAGCCAACAACTTCAACATGCTGCTTTGTCACTTGGTAGTAAAATGTTAAATATCAAACTCTCCAATTCGGACGCAGATAATATGGAAAAGTAAGATGTGTTTATGTGTGTGCGTAAATATTTTTGCCAACTATTTATACTTTCAGTATATCCAGCACGTCAAGAGCTTCTAGTGCCCAAAAAGTATTGAATAATTCACCTCCACAAAATAGTGTAGCGCAATTTTTTGGCAATCTGATTCCGTCAAAAGTTGAAGTTAAATTAGGATCAGGAGCCAGTTCTTCATTCTCGGGCTTGTCAAGCTTTAATACCAACGGTTGGAATAGTGAAAATTTTAACGGATGTCGTGGAGGAATAAGTAAACCAATTGATATTGTAAATAATAACAGCGAACTGCAGCGTAGCCATAACAATGCAACTGGCTCGATAACTAAAAGCAATCCAGGGAGCAATGGATATCCCAAAACGCCACGTAGTTCCAATAATAGTGGTGCAAATAGCTATAACGGCAATACTATTAATACGATTGCTAGTCGTAATAAGCTCCGAAATAAGCAGTTGCGTCGCGAGAGTAGTATTAAATATTGTCAAACTTTCGATACATCTGTTAATGACCCTCTGTTGCATGAAGACTTTGATTTCGAGGGTAATTTAGCTTTGTTCGATAAACAAGCGATATGGGATTCTCTAAATTCAGGAAAAAAACCGGATTTAGTTCAGCACGCTGTTACGGCTCAACATCAGCAAAAGTTTAGACACGACGAGAATATAATTGTAAGTGAACCGGCTCAAATGCGGCAAATTGAGTCTCTCTTCGAAGGATCTGAAGATTTTGTTACCGACGAAGGCTTAATTATACCAACTATTCCCTTATTTGTGCGCACAAAAATTGAAACTTGCGCCGAGAAGAGCGGATTTACCGTGCAAAGACAATTGGACCTGCTCGCTCGCGGAACTGTCGATTTAGCTATATTACTTTTAGGAGGAGCTCGTCGCCTAACTCCAAACAATCGTCATCAATGGCCAACGATTGTTATTATTTCTGAAAAGTCGGATAATTTTCGGTAAGACTGCGAATATGAAGTGTATACATGTGATTATGATGAGCGTTATTTGTAAAAGTCAGGATCAAAGACCCTGCATTACAAAAGTTTTTAGAGAAAACCAAACAGTTGTAATTGTGATAATTCGCACACTATTTAGCAAAAAATGTATTTTTGAGGAACACGTATACACCTAAATGGGTTTAAAAACGGCGTTTTAAATCCTATATGTGTGAGCGACCCTTAATGCCCCGCTTGTATGTCTAATTTATTTTTAGGGCTAGTAATGTTGGGGCCGCCACTGGTCGTCAATTGGCTTCTCACGGTCTCAAGGTTCTACTTTATTTGGAAGGAGACGCAAAAAATATTGAACAAAAGAGTATCGAGATTTCTCTTTTTAAAGCCACCGGAAACACAGTAGTTTTTACCTCTGATGGTAAGCGATTTAATCTTACATTTCTACGTTTATGCTATCAAGTGAAACATTAAAATTAATAATCCCTTCTTTTACTAGCACTCCCGGTACCTGATTTAGTAATATTATCGACAAGTTCTTCAAACTTGTCTGGTAATATTAAGAAGTGGCTAAATGACAATAGGTGCGTAAACAAAGATATTATGATCCTACTACCGTACTATTAAATAATACTAAATTTGCTACTATGCATAGAAATTTGAAACATTCAGTCAGTACCAATGCTATCGCAAAAGTTACGTCAATGCTTCAAAAAAAAAAAAAAAAAAAAAATGCCACTGATTAGAGTAAATGTTCCAAATAGACGCAAGGGAAGAATCAAAAATATAATTGAGTTGATATCGATATTGAAGGAAGCCCTCGTTTATATTTTTATTCATTTTAATGCGAATCTCAAAAACCTATCCACTAAAATTGCAAGCCTTTCCTCGATGTCTGTTATTTTTAAATTAAATTAAATTAGGCTTTGAATTTGACCGATCGGCAGCACTTGTTATATAGACGTGCAATATTTCCTATAAATTGTGCATTATTGACCGTAGAGTTTTCTATTTTTCGAAATTATTTTTAATAAATTTTTCGACTTTTTGAAAATAGACTTGTGGATATTAACTATAAGCGCATGCGCTATGCCTCAGTTGTTTATTTCAAAAATTCTATGCACCCGTAGACATGTGGTGTTGGACACATGCCCAAATTCGCAGCGAATTGGGGACATCTCGTTTGTAGCTATATGAAACTAAAATATCCTTAGTAAAAATATCCCTTGAGATTTATGTATATACGTTGTAAGTTGTATAATGGAAGAAGCATCATCTACTTTCGTTGAAATTCATGCGAAAAGTACTTAACAGAAATACACTCGAAGTTTTCTTACAGATATTTTTAATCTGCTTCATTTCCCTGTCGTCCAATATTCCTCAATAAATCGACGATGTTAAAGAGATTTTATCGTCTCGGTCATTACACTTTAAATTTGAAATATGTTCCATTACTGCTGCGAAATTATATATATATATATATATAGATAGTAATACATAAGCATATTGCATGTTCTGATTCTAATAAAAATTGTAAGCGATTATAACAATGTACTGAATGGATAAAAATATATTCACCTGTTGAATAAGCCATTTAATCTCCATCACTTACTGCTTCACATTACGTTATTAAATTAATAAAGCCTAAACCATATTTTAACTTTGATGTTGTATTTGTAGGGCTTCTGTTTTGGCCGTCGATCCCCCACCAAATGGCATAAATGATGTATGCATTAAACATGCAATTCTACCAATATTACCACTAAATGGTATATCATCGAACCACTACGGCAAATTGTATTTGTGTAATCTAGGCATCCCGGATAAATTTTATCGTGATGCTGGTGTTAAGTACAAAAGTCCATTCGGGCATAAGTTTGTGATACCAATCCATTCGAAAAACTGAGCCACGCATTATCATTTAACAAAAATTTTCATTCAAATTAAAAATGAAGATGAAAGCAGTATAACAAAAAAACAAAAAAAAAAAAAAAAAAAAAAAAAAAAAACCCAGCGATCTCTTTATACATACAACTAATGAATGCATCTCCTTAACATTTTCAACATCCTAATCAAGAGTGCAAACTTAGGCTATCGTGACTGACCTGCATTACTTTTTTTTCTTTTTTTTTACATTAATTACAAAAACTGGGGGATCCTTCTTTTATACATTGGAGAACATTATTATAATTGACGCTTTGATTCTTTAAGTGCAGTACGGTAAACAGAATAAACATATTCTCTTCCTTTCTTCTTGCCGATAATCTAATCTAAAAAGGACGGTAAAATTGTAAAATTTTTTCAAAAATGAAATTTCAATAATAATGATAAATGCATTATTTATTATGGAATACTTTTTTTTGATGGCCAACATCCTATATAATTTGAACGAACATACGAGGATACCATAATAACTTGGGAGAGAGTGTATCTTGAAAATGTCCGTTTTTTTGGCTAAGGCAAAATGCTGCTATCAGATTTCAAATATGTAATTAAAATATTTCTGGTTGTTAGAATGCAACTATATCTTCATCTCGTGATGATGGGTAGAAGAATAGGCAATCACAAATAATAATAATAATAATAATAATAATAATAATAATAATACTCAACTCAATCACTCACTGAAAGCATTAATTAAAATTCTATATTGCTAAAGCGTGTACACGCATTACCTATGTGCACATTTTTAAACGTTTTCTTTTCATATATGTATGTATGTATTTATGTATGTATACATTGAGTAATATTAAAAATTAGAAGGCATCCATTGAGAAATAAAAAGAAAAGCTCATAGAAAATATATTTGTGCGTTTTATTTTTAATGAACTCACTTAATACTAACAACGCAAACTCACTTATCGCTAATAAAAAGAGTCATGCAGTTATTATCCGATTGTTCTCATATTACAACATGAAATAAACTAATATGAAGTTAGACACTTTGTACGGTATGGTTGGTATACTAAAAGTTTAACTCTGATGTATACGACGATATATATATATATATATATGTATATATATATATATATATATATTCTTAAGCTTGACGTATATTATTTCGTTTAAATTTTTTCTTATTTAATACTCTCTTCTTTGCATCAATCATAGAGAAAAACATAGGAAAGTCATACGTACTGCTTTAGCTGCGAGTATTACACAACTCAAATCGGGTTTCTAGTGTTAATATAACGAAGTCCAAGTGATTTAACTAACGCTGTCTTTCCAACGAAAACCAAATAATACTTACAGTTTTCCATTGTATTCTAAACTATGTACATATATATATGTATATAGATAGTTTAAATATTTTTCAAAATGTTTATCTCTACTTGGCCGACAAAAAGCAAATGAGTCTAAAAAAGTCTTCCCGAAAATAATAGCTAGGGTTGCTGGTAAATGAATAATTAAGAGATAAAAAAAAAAAAAGTACATTTACACATTGGTCAGCGTTATTCAATTAAATAACACACAAAAGAAAAATCCTGTAGTTTTTTTTTTTTTTTTTTTTTAAATTGAAAAAAAGCGAATACTTCATATAAAAATGTTTTACGTACATTTATTCAGAAATATGCCCCATCCAGTGAAAATGGAATATCTGTTTACAAAAATACGTACCCGAAAGTGGCAAAAGCGAACCAATTAAAAAAAAATGTTTTTTCCAGAAATGTGTTTATAGGCATTTGATTGACTCACAGCTACGAAAGAAATTGGAAAAAGTAATCACACAAATAAATCACAATACATACCGAAAAAAAGTTAAAGAGTATATTAATAGTTACCGACTTCCTTATACCCTCACGTCACATGACCCAAGTCTAGATATAACAATTCAGTTTGCCGTACATTAAATACATAACTATATTACCGGATAATAATGTTTGCAGTAGTAAGATAAGAACAAATGGTTAAATAAAAATATTTAAAAAATATCGGATGTGGATGACATGAAACAACACGGAAGCACGCGAAAAGGAAAAGTCAATCGTGGCAACATGTGAAATATAACAGATAACAGTGACAACGGACCGCGCCTAATAATTGAAGAATAATATACACGCGTTTATAATCGAATAGTAGTAGTAGTAGTAATAGCAAAAACTAATATCGATATTAGATAGAATATAACGAATCATATAAAAACGATTAGCTGTTTAGTTTGTCCGTATACCCAAATACTGTCACTGACAGAATATCGAAATAGTATTCAAAATTAATAAATAAATGCTAAGTATAACAGATGCGTTATATAGCCCATCAAGTTATCAGAAATGGAATGAAACGAATTCCATCTTTGTCACACATATTAAAACTGTATGAAAAATTAATGTAACTTTAACGAGCTTTGTCTTAACAACGATCTAAAAATGCACTGAATTTCTTGAAAAATTAGAATAATAATAATAATAATAGTAATAATGATGATAAGAAATAAAAAAATGGCTAACAAAAATTGTTACACGGACATATTCAGACAGTTTACGTGATGATATATATATATATATATATATATATATAAGCGTTACTTTTAACCTTCTTGCATATGTCGGTCCGTCATATAAAATAGTGAGTTGTACGATCTTATCAGTTCAATATTTATAAACGCTGAAGTATTATAGCACATATTCACTCAATCGGATGACATGACCTATACTTTATTTTGTTACTTTCTATTCGGTTGAATTAACGAAAGTCAATGAGTTTGTCAGTCTGATGTTTTTTCTATCTAAATTTAAGCAACGTGCAGTGATCTCAAAACAAAAAAAAAGCAAAATAAAAAAAAAATAAAAAAAACCAAGTACGAAAAACGAACTTGACGCCGCTGTGAACTCATAGCCCGACAAGCAAGTGACATGACGACGAAATCATCTAAATACAAATTATTCGAGCCTTAAGTATTAAAACGATTCGGCCAGAGCCGAATAAGCCCTTCCTCTTGCATTCATAAATCTATTTTTGTGTAACACTAGAAATATATAGACATAAGTATACGTACCGACCAATAACCAACCAAATAACAAACTGACCGATCAATCAATCAATCAATCAATCAATGCTTGAGTCAGCTGAAATGACAAGATTATTGGATGGTGCAATTGCCAACAAAGCCATGTACTCAACGACATATTTAAATATGCAAAGTATGGTTATGCATGATAGGTTGCTTACGAAGTAATAATGATTGTTTGGCCCACGATTATGAAGTTTCCTGTAAACGATTTTCTGCTTTAAATCAGGGACACTATCTGCAATTTAGTTAATCTATTGTGCATTAACTCGACGTGTTTTAACCCTTTTCTCTTGTATTCATAATTCTAGAATTGTGTGTGACACCAGAAATATATATACATAAGTATACGTACCAACTAATAACTGAATGAATCAACCAACCAACCAACAAACTGGCCGATCAATTAATGTTCTAAGTCGGCTGAAATGACAAGATTATTGTGTTGGATGGTGTAATTGTCAACAAAACCATGTGGTCAAGAACATATGTTAATTATGAGTATGTATATTAGATTGCTTACGAAATAATACGTTTATTTGGCCCATGATTCTGACGCTTCCTGTTATCGTTTTTCTGCTTGAAATCAGGGAATCTACCTGAAATCTTGTTAATCTATTGTACATTAGACTCTACGTGCTCTACATACCAATGTACATGGGGAAAACATTGCGAACAAATGCATCCGACATAGAATTCGCTCGGGTTGTTCGTTTTGCACATTGATTGTCATTCATAAAACCAATCATAATCTTCTGTTCTGTTTGCTTCTACAAGCTAGAAAAGGGTTGGTTGTGTGGTTTACTTTATTGAAAAATTTGAATAAAAATAAAATAAAAAGAAATCAATAATTACAACGGGAATTATTAGAAATTTAAAAATAAGAAAATTAATGAAGAATTTTTTAATGATTATATTTAAAACAAAAGTTTACATACGTGCTAGCTACGTCGTCAAAGCTTAGAAATAGGATTGTGACTTGGTAAATTGCTCAACCATTTAACGGCGATAGCGATCACGGGAATGTGATCTTCGACGGGAAGTATTATAATTGCGTCCTCGAGAGCGCGAACGAGAACGTCGTCTGTCAGGCGTTCCACGACTGCTGCGGCGTTCACTTTCCTTGTCGCGATCGCGGTGCTCGCCACGATCCGATCGGGCACTAGTGTTACTACTTTTGGCAGCATTGGCCATTGAGCCCTCAGTTCGACGCCTCTCGCGGGAACGCGAGCGATGAACTCGTGAGCGACGATCCAGTTCTCTACCACCTACAAAGTAACGCGATCGCGACCGATCATCATCACGTTCATGAATCTTACCAGTGCGTTTTAGTTCAGCTTTACGTGGTCCAGCGGTCTTCTCAAGTTCTGCTAACTTCTCACGAATAGTTAAGAAGCCCAGATGTAATTTTCCACCGAAATGGTCAGCAAGTCGGATATCATTGTCATGAATACCTAAATAAGCTGAGCAGACTTCGCAAACCCGTAACTTTTGCTGTTGATACGTAGAGGCAGGCATTGAAGTGCGGTATTCATGTTCAGCTTTAATTTTTTTAGCGCGTAATTCGTCAATTTCCTTCATCAGCGACATGCTTTCTTCTACTTCTCCAGCTTCACCCAGCGCCTCTGCTTTGGCTAGTTTTTTGCCAATTTCTTCAGCCAATGCATGAACAGCGTTCGCTTTTTCAGCTACTTCGGCCGTCAATTCCTCTTGCGTTTCTTTGAGGCGTTGTTTTGCAGCTTCAGTGCGTCTGTCGCAGTCAGCAATGAATGCCTGCAGGTGCTCCATGGCTTCAATATCATAATAGAAATCTCTGGATTTCGATGCATTTTGATAGTCTGCGCGGAATGCCAAATCATGCACCTTAGGGCATTCACCCAAATCCATGCGAGTAGACGCCAGAATATCGTGTGGACAACAGTTCAACAAAAAACTTTTACATACCCGTGGATCCGAAAATTTGAGACTGCGACCATCGTCACCGTTCCTAGTGGTACCCATTAGCTGATCAAGCATTGCCCTCATTTGATCTGTAGCCGACATTTTTTACAAACTTTTTTTATTTTATCTTTTTATTATGATATGAATAATCCAAGCCCAGAAAGAAAATTTCCAATCTAAAAAATGTCTTTTTAATAATTAGCTATCTATCTGTATACAAGGTTGCCTAATGTACGTATTTATTATCAGGCTTGATTTCGTATTTGGTACGCACTTGCGTTTTTTATAATATTGGTAAATGGTTTAAAGCCCACTACTTTTTTTAATTTTTATAACTCAATATGTTTCTCTAATGTATTTGACTAATAAAAACAAAATATATGTACAACTTCTTTTATTTTATGGATTGGCACTATCGTTTCCTTAACTGTTAATAATATGCAAAGATAAATTAAATTTTAATCGTTTTTTCCTTTGTCATCCTTTGGAATGGAATAGTAATTCAGACGTTTAATTTTGCAATTTGGTAACACTAAATGGAAGAAAAGTTTACAAAGCAACAGCTATACATTAAATATGCTCAAGAAGTTAAATCATAAAAAATTCGATTGAAATTATTCTGTCAATAGAAAGTCGTTGGTTTAAGACTGAGATAGAAATTTTATGTGATTTTAGTGGAAAATATATGATAAAAAACTGTGAGGTGTAGGAAAACTTCAAAAGAACAATGACGAAAAGAAACTGATAATTGTGTTGAATGTTAAGAAACAGTTTAAATCAGCTTCACATTTGATAATTAACAAAAATAGAAATAGTATAAACCAACCGATTTGATAAAGCATTTGTTCCTGTTTTACATAGTAAGTGACGCTTCTACACAAGAATATCATTTTTATACAGGCGTCATCTAAAAGCGGCTATATGGGCATTTGGCGCCAGTTCTAAACAATTCCGAGCTATATATAGAATCTTCATTAGGTTGCGCCAATTGTAATATCACAATATGTTCGGAAAATTTTGAAGGTACAAAGTGGGTTCATCCTCTTAAGCAAAAACGTAGGAATGGCTTAGCCTACATTTTCTATTTTCAATAGTAGCCTAGTTTTCCCATGCATTAGTTTAAATTAAGATGATATTTTCCAACTAAGCGGAGGTGTTTCTTTTAAATAAGCCAACATACGATCCGCCGATTTGTATTTAAAATTTGATTTTGACTCTTTTTTTTTTTTTTTTTTTTTTATAATTAGTGAAACTATTTTTCTTATAAAACTCTCTTTAAACTTTTTTTCTAGTTGCGGAAAAAATTGTTCAACACGTTATGTCTACGCATTCATCAGCCGCCGGTGGTGATGTTCCTCGCCCGCCGCCTCGAAGACGTTCCACCTTTGTTAGTGGCCAACAACGTAGTTTATCTTTTTGTAATACACAAGAGCATGCAGGTAACAGTGGTCAGGTTCCTCGACGCTCCTTCACAACAACGGTAAGTTTGCGTTACGTTAACGAAGTCGATAGATGATAGTTTTTATATATGTATACAAAAATTTGCAATTCACTCCCTAAGTGAAAACGTGCCTGTAATAAGATTGAGCATTTCAATTTCCTCCTTTCTCCAAAGACGTGCAACATAAAGTTTTTCTTGTTCACTTTTGCAAACTTTTTCCTAAATTTTGTCTTCCTCATCTTGATCTTCAACATTTGTTGAAAGCACTTTGAATCCGTATGCGCCACACAGCGATTACGCGTTCCTGGATCAAGTGGCGACGGGTGCAATTTTTGTATAGTTTGCTTTACATACGACATACTTTCTTAACAATAACGGAAGTAGATCTTTTAATGTTTATTAATGACTGTGAGTTACACATAATCTGGCTTCTTGTAGATATTGTCCATTAAATATTCCATCGTGATGATCTCAAAATTTATTTATACAATGTCGTTCTCTATTCATGTTTATATGCCACCGAAGGAACCGATAACTGGGGATTTATCCATTTTGTCGAAATGTGCTCAAGAGATCGTGTCAAGCATACAAATTTTTGATCTATATTAAATCCTTAATTGACCCAGGCATGTCGGTCCGCTTGCCCATAAAACTTGTGTGCATTGAACGTCATATGTACTTGGCACACTACGATACGGAAAGTGATGAACATACAGATAGACTTCAATTAGAAGCAAAGTATTTGGAAAATAATTTAAGCATATTTAAATTAAGCATATAAAAAATAGATGGAAATATAAGTCATATTCACAAGTGCTAACTTGCAGAGCAATTATATTAACAGTAATATACAGCGAGAAATAATCGTATGAACAGTATTGAAAATTACTGAACTCGCTGCACATATATATAAATTATCGAGTAATTTGTACCGTTCTTTTGTAATTTGTTGTAGAACGTTTGCATAAAAGATATGGTCACTTTAATAAGATTTAAAGAAGATTTAAAAACTATATGGAATTTCTGATGTCCTGCGGTAAACCTAGTGTAAATATTGTTTTTTTTAATATTTGTCTCACGTTGGAATGTTTGTTTAGGGATACCATTTCTTTACAATAGCCAGAAGGAAGAAAGACACAACGATGCTGCGACTTAAGTGACCAGCAACAGTGCTCTGTTACTCAAAAATTCTTGATACTTTCAATTTTTTTTATAATAATTTTTAGTAAAAAAATAAAAACCAAAAAGTGGCCGCCGGCAATCAATGCATGCCTCTTGCTTAATATTTAAAACAACTGTAGGATGACTAATTACCGCGATTAGTTTTTATTACTGCCATATTTCAATAAAGAAATAAGAATTAAGATGTATAGAATTCCATTGTTGTCAATAATTTTGTTGCCATCATTTAAATTCCTTGATCGTGGGGACATGACATTCTTCAAAAGACGGGAAAACTATTTGTGGGAATAAGTGTATAAGTGTGTGTATTTTCTAAGAATATCCAATTTTTGTTAATTGAATTTTCACAAAATTTTAGGTTGGGTTTGTTTGTGGACTGCTAGTTGGTCACAGAGGTTGTCTATTAATTTTAAAAAGAATAATAAAATTAAGTAAATAGTAAAAGTGTGCAAAACGCGAACGAAATATGTGTGCGAAATATTTATAACCACATAACCACGTTAATAGTTATGCAAAATTTTTTGCAAATACATCTAATGCGAGGATTTTTGTATTTTATATCAGGGGCATAACCAGGAGCAGATCAATTGCAAAGATTTCGCATACTTCTGCTAAGGAGAAATAAAAGATATTGGTCGTTTCAGAAAACAACGATTTGACGATGCATCGTAATGACTGCTATCACTAACACCAAAGCATATATAACGCAGTAAACTTGCTTTTTATTTTCTTTGATACCTCATGCACTTTAATTAGTTAATGAAATAGCAAACAGAAAATTGTTCCCAATTAACCGAATTGTTGTCATTGTATCAGTCGGTGGTTTGGTATTTATGCGGATATGGCTGAAGCTGTAGAAGAAGGACAAATTCATGGTTATAGTGATGTAAGTTGTCGCACTAAGCGTGTAACAGCGAGAAGGTACCATAATGTATGCTATTTGATTTTGGCCTTGGTTTCTTCTTTATTTTTTTTTTTTTTTAATGTATAAAATACGTATGTGTGTGCATAAATATTGATTTTACACTCAAGTGCGTAAACATGTTTCGTTATGGCTTGGAATATAATTGGCGGTTGACGGGCGTCTATCAAAGTCTCAAATTCGATGCAAAATAAGATGTCAGTTTCAAAGTATCCGTATAAAATACGACAAATATAATGTGATAACGATTGCCGTTAATATGATGAAAAACAAATAGAATATGCTTGGAATCGGCATAACTTTTGGTAAATTTTCAACGGGAAGAAAATCACAGTAATATCACTAATAAATCGTTGTCACAGATGTAAATTATTGTAAGAATAATATATCTTTGTGAAAGATCTTTTCCTATATGTATGTATTTATATAAATGTATGATGTATTTATCTATATATACATACGTGTAAATGTGTAGCAATTAATACGTGTAGTATGACGACTAGATCTGAATATACGGTACATTAACTCATAAATCAACCGATTAAATAAACTCCATTCCAATTGAAGTTGACAATCTTATAAACTTACGATCTAAATGTGATATCTAATTTAATTTGATTTAATTATTATTATTATTCTTGGCCACAATTGACTCAAGGTTCTCTGCAAAATTTGGACTGAATTTGTTTTCATGTGTAACTTAATGTATTTTTAAGATCAGCAATGTGATTCCGCCCAAATTTCAACATACTTTAAATATATATATATATATATATATACATTGTAAAAATTTATAGTGTACAGTTCAATTTAATATACATATATATATATATATATATTATTTTTTTCCATTTTTTAATTTAATTTTCATAATTGATCAGAATGATGTGGCGGACACATGTCACCTGCGTATTAACGTACTTACTGGGAAGTCGTTAGCTAAGAAAGATATATTCGGCGCAAGGTACGCATTATCCACTAATTATATGGTCAGTGAAATCTCTCTACAACAGACATGCACGCTCACGTATTTGACAATAAACTTCCATGTTTAAAGAATGGGATTATTTCTTTATTTATTTATTTTTTTAATAGAATATTTTTTGTAATCCCAGAGATGTCTGTCCAAAGTTGGGATATTTCACTACCATCGCTCAAACTACGGCATTAAGTGATTTATTACTATTTGTCTCATATAATGTCTAGTGATCCCTATGTGAGAATTGATTTGAATACAATCAATGGTGATATAAATATTGATTCTGTTTTAACTAAAACTAAGAAGAAGGTAATTATTTACAACTTATACAATAGCAAATGAAACATGATAGTAGAAATGATTTATTTATCGTTCATAGACATTGAATCCGACGTGGAACGAAGAGTTTATATTTAGAGTAAGTGATTAAATTTGCAAGAAGGCTTTATATCTTTTTCAATGTGCTCTAATTAATATAATTTTATTCATGTTTAGGTAAAGCCTTCGGAACACAAACTTGTTTTTCAAGTATTCGATGAAAATCGCTTAACGCGAGATGATTTCCTGGGTATGGTTGAATTGACGTTAGTAAATTTGCCTACTGAACAGGAAGGCAGAGCCATAGGACCACAAACTTACCCGCTAAGGCCTAGAAGGTCAGTAGGGTATGTTTGCTTTGATTTGTTTATATATTATTTATTCTTGTGTATATTATGCAAATACACACCGACGAGAGCAAGAAAGGGAATTACTAAATATATATAGCAAATGTTCGTACATAAACGAACATACGTCCAAGGCTGAACTGGAGAGTCTGCATGGCCATGTCAAAAGCACCACTACGTTTTTAATGTCTCAAGCTCTATGGTTTTTATTCTCACAAATCTTTGCTTTCAGTTCAGTTCAGTAACAGCGTGTCTGATAACCGCTTTAGTTTATTTTCAATACGAATCTACGTGCAAAATTTTGGAAAGTGTATTCCAAATTTGGAGCCTATGTATTAATTTTTGCGTCCAGTGTTAACAACACGGATCCGAACAGACACGACTAGAACGCTTCAGAATTTGACGCTGATCAAATTTATATGTATTATTTTAAGGTGTCTTTGAAGCTCCCATCCTTCGGTGATGGGTAGAGAATAATAAGCATCATTAGATTCGACTTTTTCCCCTCCTTGCTTAGTTGGTATAGATTGGATAACAAGCATGCGTGCAGTAGTCCTCCCAGCGTAAAAAATTGAAACCAAGCAGAGCTTTATTCAAATATCAAAACTTTATTTTTGTATTCTCGTGCAAAAGCTTGCACATCAACGCCTATATATATATATATATATATATATATATATATATCAAATAGAAAGGCGACCGATTATATGGCCAAGTAATTGTATGGTAATAAAAAAAAAGCAGATTTGATTGATGTTCGCTCGATTTTGGACCATTTTTGACGCCGAAGTGGAGGACGCATTAATTCTCAATGACATTTGAGTCTATTACGAACCACCACAGACCCAAACTGCAATTTTTCAATGGCGGTGCAGTGGTCGCGGGAGCTCAAATCACATTTCTACTGCTTTTGGCAGCTATGTTTCGAAATAATAATTTTTATATATTCAATAATAAATAACAAACCATTTATTATTAAATTTTATTTCAAAGAATTTCCCCATAATAAGACTGATCGATTTCTGCACGCTCGCTTGTCATTCAATCTGTATGCATCGTTTTAATTTATTCCATTAAGACATTGTTATTATTCGTTCCGATCAATTGTACCAATTATCGCCTGCTGAGTTGCAATGAATTTTAAGATTTATAATTTATTTTATTTATGAACAAAGCGCCAAGTCACGCATCAAGGGGACCTTGGAAATATATCATGCGTTTATGCATGAACCGCGAGAAAGTACTGAGACAAATTCCAATTCCGGAGATTGGGAGCACGTAGAAAATGTGTCGATGACGGGATCGGCTCAGGCGGCAGTAAGCTAACATATGTAACACATTTTTTTTCCGATAAACTCTTGATCTTATTTTCAGAATCCTTTTGCATCTAATGGTGGTCATGATCCTCTTCCAGCCGGTTGGGAAGAACGACAGGATGCAAATGGTCGTACATATTATGTGAATCACACCGCTCGTACTACACAGTGGGAAAGACCTACTCCGTAAGTAAATCTTTTTTTTTTTTGTAAGTTATAACTAAAACTCTATATCGAATATACTCGGTTTCATTCACCTCATTTCAAATAGTAACAATGCAAACATTAATATGGATGCGGCTGCTTCAGATTTCCAAAGACGATTCCACATTAGTGTGGATGATAACGATCCAAATCGAACAGCGGTAAGTGTTATAGCTGAATCGCTGCTATATTTAGCATGGCTTAGTTCATTTGCGATATTTTTCTTTTATAATTCCGTTCAGTTTAAATTAAACCCAGATTTTTTCATGATCGCATTTTCTTAAGTTTTTTTTTTTTTTTGTGTTTTCGGGTTATTTAATGCAAAAATTTCCTGAATAATTATTGATTTTTTTTTTATATCGTTTCCTATATATTAGTTTTCTAAAGCGCAGTGTATGTGTACTAAATGTAATATATTTTGTTACACAGATTATAATGATAATGTTCGAGGGAAGCAATTCAATCAGATCAGTTAAACATTGATGAATTTCCACCAATTTGCAAAAGGTCTTATGTTAAAGATACAAGTTTATTGTGTATCCTTTGGAGGAGTAACAATCGTAGATTAGTCAAGTAGATTGCGAAAAAAAAAAAAAATAAACATATTTCGTTTGCGATATCCTAATAAATAATAAAAGATAAAAAACTTATTTTTTTTTTATATTTGTTAATTTTTGTCAGTTTAATCAAGCGTCCGGCTTTCGCGATACAACGAACAAATCACATAAAACGTTTTCGCCACAAATACCAATAAGCATAAGCATTAATTGCTCTAATGCCGAGGACGGTGTTTGCAATCCAATAAGCTCCCGTGACTCCGATCATGATAGCAGGTCCTCTTCAAAATCATTAAGTGAAAGTAGTGATGCAAGTATTAGTCATCGCTGCGCTTGTGGCTCGCTCCACGTTAACACGGAAAATGACGATGATAGCGATATCGATACCAGTATAGACAGAAGTAATGAGATAAATCAACGTCTGGCCGCAGATAATAGTTTTGACATATTCAACTCGAAACTATATTTGACTCGCATATTTGTAATTATTATATATATATAATTTATTCACAAAATTGCTCGATTGCTTGTCAGATCGCTAATTTCAAAATTACTATTAGTTGCGATTGCATTCTATCCACGTGAAAATATATATATAGAGTTCACTAAGGCGAAAATCATTACGAAGCTAGTATATCAATCATCTATTCTCGAGACAATTATTATTAATTATTCTTCGCAAATTTGTAGTGAAAATAAAGTAAATTTAATTTACTTCGACACTCACATTATTACAGATAACAAATCTCTTTCTCCTCTTCGTCCATAATCGTTCAGTTGGTTTCGTTCGCTCGACTAGCTCATTAAATTGAATTGGCGTAATTGTTGCGGTATCGTGAAATCACGTGACTTTTTCTCACAATCCCGTGGTTTTCTAAATGTTTCGAGATTTTTTTTTTTTTATGTTGTGGTGTCACTTTCGATCCTCGTAGCGATCAAATACCTTTTTCCATTCAAATTTTGTCATGATCGTTATAACAAATTACCAGAGGGACGAACGTTTCGGTAAATACGCGTAACGAAATTTCACAAACCATTTCCGATCACTAATCAGTAAACGTTATTTTCTTCTGCAAAAAGCAAATATTTTGGAGATTCTTGATAAAACGTGCAATCATATCCAATCTTTTGTTTTTTTGCGAACGCACTTGACTAAGTCAACTAATTCCTAGGCGCTTATAATAAAATCATAATTGATTCCGACGGCCGAATCTTTTATACCCATCTTCTCAATTCCAACAAAAAAAAAAAAAAAAATAATAATAATTTAATTTCAATGCTCTGTAATATTGAATAGGGCGGCCAATTTTTCCCATTTTCGTATAGGTACTACAAAATCAGCCATCATAGAATGTGCAGAAAAATTTTTTCCATTGTACCTGCCGCAGTTTAGGAGTAATTAACGAAAGGTCCATCCTTTTTGCTTTGGAAAGCCGATGTGCTCTTAATTTATTTTGCACTGTAGACTTGGCTCATCTTTAGTATCGATATTTCAAAATGTTTACCACAAACATTATACAGCCGGATGTGCGTAGATCGATTCAGGATTTAATACTGATTAAGAATTGTTTTTTATCGGGCTTAAGAAGTTGCCTTGCGGAAACGCTTTCACAAAGTGAAACTCTCACACTCATACCCTGGCGGTGCTGGATATAAAAATATATTAAGTAGTTTGAAATGAGAGAACCAATCCAGTAACCTTTTAATGGCAAAAACATAAACTCCTTACAGAAGTAAAGACTGTAGATACTTGGAGTGAAGTGTGGCGGTCTATGATTAAATGAATATATTATATGTACATATATGTATTTATTCAATTAAGTCATTAATTTATCAGATTTGAAGCTATATGGAAAATAATTATTGCGTCTATCATGTATGCAGACTGTTGTTAGAATGAAAATTCCTTAAGGGATATTTCTGCCGTCTTGATCACATTATTGACTATAAAATTAATTCATTAATCCAATGTCTGCGAAAATGTCAACGGACCGACCGTGTGCTTTTCTACCGGTTTTGGAAATTACGGGAAAAATCAAAGATTCATCTGAGAAGTTGAGAACAATCTTGCAAGAAGCAGCATACCAACTGTCCGTCAGGTTGTCTGTGCCGCTCTACAAACGATAATAATACAAAAAATCTATATAGAAACATTTTAGTCGGACAAGGCCGGCAATCAAATACCCTGCACTACTTCTACGTCTAATGCAATTATTCATTCATTTTCATGATAATACATCAAAAATACTATATATATATATATATATATACATATATATATGTATACATTTTTTTTTTATTTATATGTAAAGACATACTTTTCGGGAAATTCTTTATATAATATTAAATTTTTAGTGGACGTACATATGCAATATTGACAACGGCGTCACATAGATTCACTTTTTATTATACCGATCGATTTAGAATCAGAATATGCTTCTCATCAATGATTCATTTTCTGAATTAATCTAAGTTTGTCTGTCCGTCAAATATTTATCAATATATTTTTGTGTTTGTATCACAAGTCGCAATTCTTAAAATATTTTAATGAAATTTGATGTATATGGGCGCGTGTGTCAATCGAGTCCCCTAAACAAGATGTTATTTTTGAAAAGTCATTGCATAAAAAATATTGTAATTTTCTAAATAATTTGACAGAAATCAGTGGGCAATAGATAGAAATTTGGATAATGACTGCATATTTTTTGGACAACTCCCCCCCTAATGAAGGCTCTTGAAAAAATTTAAGTCCTTATTATATAGCAAAAATTCAATTTTTGATATTTTGAGATAAAAATTGGTTCACTTTTTGAACACCACTACATTTAAACGTTTTCCTGAAAAATAAATCCTTTCATACCAAAAAAAAAAAAACTATAATCTATAATATTTCATGGAGAAAATTTGCCTATAACAGTAACGTGACATAAAAATAACTAAACAAAATTTTGAACCGTGTAGAGCTATTGTTTTTTAATCCACTTTTATATAAGCGTTCCTATGGAAATTTCGAATATTTCATGATAAAAATCGGTTTACAATAACAAGTTGACGTTAAATTTAATCCCGGGAAATTTGAGTCGCATTGATCTATTTTTTTGGACCCGGCCTATATGTAGTAGTTGTCCAGGAAAATTAAGTCCTTACATGGTGACAATGTCTGCTTTGTGGCTTTTGTTATAACGAAAACACGAAAAATACTAAAATCGTTGACAAGTACAATTTTCGGTGCAAAATTAATGGGAAACTGCATTAGGCAAAATGGTGTAGAGTCAGTCTTACTTGACTATAGCTTTCAATTTTTTTTCATATGGCAACTTTTCAAATAAGATTTTGTATAGGGAATATTTTGAATCAATCTGTCTTCAAGGGGTGTCGCCCATAGGCCTAAAACACGTCAGTGCGCCATAATTCGTAAAAATATCGCAAAAATTTGCTGCTTATCTATATTGGGTATAAGAGAACGCATGGACTTAAGCCGGGCGGACGGATAAATTAAGATTGACTTGGAAAAAGTTTTAAAAAGCTGCGTCGCTCTCTCTTTTTCAAGGCCTTCTGCTTATTACATATATACCAGCATAGTAGGACCAACCACCTAAAGATGGAGTAGGAGGATATGACAAAACTTTAAAAGTTATTAATATAATCTTGTGTTCTTCAGTTTGAATTAAGAAAAATGTTGCGCTTGGATTTTTTGCATAACCATACGATATCTATCTACTATATAGCTTTAATATTTAATATTAAGAATATTTAGTGTAAAAATCGAATCAGCTTCATGCTGCTTACATAGGTAACCATTTCTTAAATAATCTAAGGCATTGCGTAGACGAATTTTCTAAATGGTAAAGACCGCTTGGGCTCAATTAATAAACAATTATATTTATAATCGTTATTATTTTTTTTTTAATTATTTATTTTTTCAATTGTAATTTCTTTTGCTACGTCCTACTTAATAATGACAAATGTTAAAACAATTATAAAATCCCCACAACAGAATGAGGATGACGATCAAATAGATAGCGGAAATCGTTCACAGACATCAACCTCATCAACCCGACGGAATTCCGTGGAAGACAATACAGCAGTGCCGGAACAAGTAATTTTTTTTTTTTTAATTACACTTTTTAAATAAATTTTAATTTTTAATGCATATTTATTATTTTTAAAATTATACATTAATATATCATAATGCGAATTGAGTAGTAGTATTGGGGAAATGGGAGACTTTAAACCTACTGAAGAATTATTAACCAATTTACATTTGTTTTGTAGACAAATGTGCCGAGTGAGGAAGAAGAGGCATTGCCACCGAGATGGTCAATGCAAGTGGCGCCCAATGGCCGTACATTTTTTATTGACCACACTGCTAGGCGAACTACATGGATAGATCCTCGCAATGGCCGGGCAAGTCCGATGCCCAATCAAACAAGACGCGTGGAAGACGATTTGGGACCTTTACCAGAAGGTTGGGAGGAACGCGTTCACACGGATGGTCGTGTCTTTTATATTGATCATAGTATGTATGCAAAACAGATAATTATAACCTCTACGAAATAATTATCTCCAACTTCAGATACCCGCACAACGCAATGGGAGGATCCAAGACTTTCAAATCCTAACATCGCTGGACAGGCGGTACCTTATTCCAGAGATTATAAACAAAAATACGAGTATTTTAAAAGTCATCTCAGGAAACCGGTAAGTTTTGCTTTTATTTCGCGTCTCCTTTTACCCTGCATCGTACTAAAATAGATTCCCCATTTATTATCCTAACGGAACTGGAATCATGATCTGTCCATGTATCCCTGTATTTAACCTACAGGTTACAATATTTGATATATTTTTAATGAAATTCAATACACTGGCGTGTTTTGGCTCAAGGACATGCCCCATTAAAAATCGATTGGATCGGACTACTTTTTCGATCACTTCCCACATAAAATCTTATTCTTAATATTCAATATTCCTCGACAAGGAATCACTACATTATAATATATCGGCATTTTAACTTGCCGCGAGAAATTTCGGATTGAATATGGTTTTCAAGTTTTCTACGAAAACTGAATCTTCGTATGGTAAAAACATCTAATTTTCAGTATTGCATGGTTAATATTGGTCCATAGTAGTAATTTGATATACAAATTAACCACGGCGAATTTGGACTATATAGGTGTATTTTTTGGATCTCATTTCCCGTAGCACTTTCATGCAAAATATGCGTTTATATTGCAAAAATGTTCTAAAATTCAAGCCAAAAATTGGATTATAATGGCTATTTAATTTTAAAGTTAACTCTTATGAAATTGGATCAAGAAAGTCTATTTAGAGAGAAAGTAATGATATTTACACGAAAATGGGTGATTGACTGTATATATCAGGTGAAATGATGTACGGTATTTAATGGTGGTCGGCATTGGCCGACTATAATGCTTTTACTTGTTATTAGATAAACACGTTAAATATTGTGCTATTGTAGACTAATGTGCCCAATAAATTTGAAATTCGTGTGCGGCGTGTTTCTATTTTGGAAGACTCTTACAGAATTATAAATCAAGTCACTAAAACGGATTTGTTGAAAACAAAATTGTGGGTGGAATTTGAAGGGGAAACGGGACTAGGTAAAGTTTATCAATTTATTGTTGTTGTTGTTGTTGTTATTTTAAAAACATTAAAAATAAGTATAATTTATTTAGATTATGGTGGTCTAGCCAGGGAATGGTTTTACTTGTTATCCAAGGAAATGTTCAATCCATATTACGGCCTCTTTGAATATTCCGCCATGGACAATTACACGCTACAAATAAACAATGGCAGCGGCCTATGCAATGAAGATCATTTGCTTTATTTCAAGTAAGTTAAGTGTTCCTTTCCACGTACAATTAATTATGAACAACAATTTTAAATGAATTTTTTAAAAGATTCATTGGGCGTATTGCCGGGATGGCTGTGTATCACGGCAAGCTTTTAGACGCCTTCTTCATACGACCGTTTTACAAAATGATGCTACAAAAACCGATCGATCTTAAAGATATGGAGTCAGTGGATACTGAGTATTATAATTCATTAATGTGGATAAAAGAGAATGATCCGCGTCAATTGGAATTGACATTTTGTGTGGACGAAGATATATTCGGTCAAAAAAGCCAACACGAATTAAAACCGGGTGGTGCTAACATTGAAGTTACCAATGAAAACAAGGACGAATATATTAAGTAAGAAGTTTTGCGGCGCTCGTCTATTTATATGCAATGACTCTCAACAATTTTTATTTATTTTATATTAAGCGTAGGCTCGTCATAGAATGGCGTTTTGTTGCCCGAGTGAAAGAACAAATGACTTCATTTTTAGATGGTTTTGGATCCGTCATTCCACTTAATCTTATTAAGATATTTGACGAACATGAACTTGAATTGCTGATGTGTGGCATTCAAAATATTGATGTCAAGGATTGGCGTGAAAATACACTATATAAGGGCGATTATCATCAGAATCATATAATAATACAATGGTTTTGGCGTGCAGTGCTCTCCTTTTCAAATGAAATGCGTTCTCGGTTATTGCAATTTGTGACTGGCACTTCACGCGTTCCAATGAATGGTTTCAAAGAGTTATACGGTTCAAATGGTCCTCAAATGTTTACTATTGAAAAGTGGGGAACACCTAACAACTATCCTCGTGCGCATACATGGTATTATATAATGCTTTTTCCGTTCCGTTCATATATCGATGCGTTATTCCCACCTTTAATCGATTAGGTTAAAGTTGTAGTTGTTTTTTCGATACAATTTTCAATAATTTATAGGAAAGGAAAGAAACCTATTAATTAATATTGCCATATGCTATAGTAATGTATAGTAATGTATAGTTTTCATTAAAATTTCTAGTATAATTTAATTTTATTGTAACTGGTGGGCATGACACAGTCGACCCAATTGACAACGTAAGTTTACTTATTTGTTATATTTTTTTGTATTTCCAATAAATTGCAGCTTTAATCGACTCGATCTTCCGCCTTATGAAGGCTATTTACAACTTAAAGACAAGTTGATTAAAGCTATTGAGGGTAGCCAAGGCTTTGCTGGTGTGGACTAATATTATCGAAAATCCTAATGCTGTTATAAGCGACATCTGCTTTTCGCTGCCAACACGACACGCATCATTAAGAAAACACTTCATCTCGATGATAAAAGCGACGATTACAATCTTTTAAAACAGCGTAGGCGCAGACAAACCGTGGCCTTTTTTCTCCAACTGTACTTACTACTTCTTGCATTACAATTGCATTACCTATATTTTACAACAACAATATAGAATATTGAACAGATTCAGCCAGGCTGTTGACTACTTTAATTCCAAATTTAAGTTATATTTTTAAATAAACTTTGCAAGCAATTTTCCTCTATATACAAAAAAAAAAGAAGAAAACAAAAAAAAAAAAAAAAACATAATTATAGTAAAAAATGTTTTTTTATTTTTATTGTATAACCAAAATTATTACCTTGTTATTATTCCTGTATTAGTTATGTATTAAAAACAAAATCTAATATTAATGTGATTAAATTTGTATCTATTCGTACATTACACATCATTGTGATTAATTCCATTTTGTTTTCGCTTCTTGCTATATCTATCTATCTATGGCTTTGCCTGAATTAAAATACAAAAAATGCGTACACATTTTCTTAAAATTATAGATTTACAAGAAAAAAAAAAAAATGTTGGTACACGTCGCTTAATTTACTAATCTCCCGAAACCAAATTCTGTCGATATATGCGACTAGGCTCTTGTTGTTGTTGAGACACATGTCATAAGGTATGTTTTGTGTGTGTGCGATTTGGATGACAAGATTGATATGGAAATGTTTCATTACGACGCTTCTATCGCCATAGCATACTTAATACAAAATAAAAAAACAACATTTATATAACAAGAAAGAACATTTTCTTCTCTGATGCCTAATTATCAGTCGTAACGCCACAATATATTCCTAAATCACGACGATGCTTACTTATAACACAGTAAATATGTACCAATGTTGCAGAACTTGCTGAAATTAAGTATGAAGACGAGATTTCCCCACGAAGATAAACAATAGCAAATAAAAGTCATTTTGGAAAACTTCATCAAAGCAGTTGCGTAAGTTTATAGAAGAGATTTATGACATAAATGGAAATCCGGAGAATTGATTTGAGAAATATCCTAGAGATGAAATAGAATTCGAGATAATACAATACAAATGCCTAGAACGTCACTGAGTAAGCCAACCAACAAATTGATTGGTGTTACTATATTTAAGTAATTGTTTAAAAAAAATCCACTGGGTTTTTTTTTTTTTTACAAGAGCAAGTCATGGGGAGATTAAATGACATCGTAGCTTGAAAAAGTCTAACAGTTTTCCCTTTGTTCCGCTTGAAAATCATCTTCACATGTGTCATTAAGCAGATTTCTCGATCAATTCGCTAAGGTATCATCTTAGGGGATAATAAAACAAGCGAAATATTAGCCATTAACTGGTTTGTAAAGCAAATATTTATATTTACGTAGAAACCATATTCACCTTAACATGAATTTACTTTTTAAATTTTTTTTATTAATTCCAGTAAATTATTTATTCCTTATTTTATTTATACACGTTGTTGATCAACAGACAACATACTCAAAACTTAAGCACACTGAAGGTACCCTAACAAAAAAAAAAAAAAACAGTATATACACATGCGCAGATCGAAGCATACGTTTCTAATTTGCAGATTTTTGAAACAAAGAATAATTTTTAGAAATATTTCCGACTTTTTAGCCAAAATCCTTATATTGTGACCGTACTCCATGCTCGCTCACTCAGGATCACGAAGATCCCTGAATTGCACAGCCTTCTAGCTTTATGTATTACCGACGTCTATTGGGGACAAATATAATGAATTTAGGGCTTAAGTTTAAATTTTCCTACTTGCAAATGCTCTGACGTGCTATCCAAACTTGGGGTCAGTTATATCGAGGATTTGCGTACAAACAAAGCAACTTTGTGTTATTATTTTGTTTTTAAATCCAATATTTTCAAAAGTTGACCAAAAAAAAGTTCTGCAAATTGTGTGAGCAATATTTCTGTTTAAAAAAAAAAAAGGTGCTCACGTTAAGATAATCAAAATAAGAACAACATTTACCAACTTGTTTCGAGCCGGTCTGTGCTAGTGATCTTAATAAACTAACTTAACTGCCTTTTTAAAATTTTTCTTGGCATCAAATTCTATCAAAGAGAACGAAACAATTTCGCCGTCTCTAATGCAAGCATCGAAATACAATATATATAAATAACAACAGCCGTCTCTGCTAACGATAGCGCTGTTTCATTTTTTTGGTGAATAATTGGGAGCATAAAGCTTTTATTATAAATTTTGATAGCTCGTTAGGTTTGTTTACTTCAACTGAGTTTTTATTCCGAATCTTAACCGCTCATAGTAAAAACTGTGAATGTTCCGGAAAAACCAATATGAAATTTCATATCTAATAAGAAATTTTGCGTGTTTTTGATGGGTATATAGGAAAATTTTAAGAACAAATTGCAATACTATTGAATGGAATTTCAATTGAGGAAATTATGAGTTTTCTTATTGCATAGCTTGAATATTGACTACCACTTCTGATAACAATTCCAAGTTAACCTTTATAGCAAGTGCTACAATTAAGACCGCGAAACCAATAAATTGGAAAAATGCATTTATTGTTAAAAAGATAATCGATAGTTTCTTTTTCAATATCTATTTTGTAATTACTAAATTGATTCATATTGATTTCATCTTTTAAAAAGAAAAGATAATAATCTGATTTAATAATTTTTTTATGATTTGCTTTTTTCGCTCATAAAAAAATTTGGGATATATTTTCTATACGCTTTTCTCTCCACATTTATAAAAATATTTAGTATAGGAATTAAATTGGAAAACACTGTTGTAATTTGTAGTTTTAGAACCGGGAGCTATTGTATACTTGAAGAAGTAATAACAGCTCTTTTTCACATTTTGTTTTAGCAGAAGAAGAAGCAGAGAAAAAAAGATTTTTTTCGTTGAATGCGTTTGGTTTTAAGTTAATTACATAAAAAAAAAAAAAATTCGAACGTAAAACGTTCAAAAATTAATAAACCGTCAACATATTAAAAAAATAAAACAATTACATTGTCAAGATGTATATGAATTTGAAAGAAATAACAATGGGTTGCTGAGTGAAAATCGTATATAAAAAAAGGTTGCACGCACCAATATTAATTGATTTGTAACCAGCAGCTTTGTTCATTGAAGTGATTTTTTTTGTCGTCTTCTGATATGGATTCACTAAAATTAATTGTGTGGGAAATCGGGTTAGAAAAGGATGCATATGATATCTGAGGTAAAACGATTGAATTGTGAATGATTTTTATTGTTTCGTAAAAGGTAAAGAATCGTACGGAAAAAAATATGAAAATGTCTAAAACTGATGAAAGTAAAGTGCTCAAAGCTAATGCAAATGTTGAGGAGATAGAAGCAAAGAACAAGAACATTGATGATAGTGGTGCAGGCACGGCTACTAATATCGTTAATAAGAATGATATTGTAAAAGTGACAGTAGAAGGAGTGGCTAAGCTTTCGTTTGCTTTCCTTGAAGAAATGCAAGGCGGTGATAGCAGTCTTGAACCAGGAGAGGTTAAAACGCCCACTCCCGGCTCAAGCCCAGTAATGTGCCGAGATGTTACACCCACGCGAGCAGATAGAGATCAACCTCCGTCCAAGCAGCTAGCTAAGGAGTCTTTGGCAAAAGCCCTGAAAACTGTCTCGCAAATGGAGGCGGAGGCTTGCGAAGAAAAGGTTCGTGCAATATTGGAACTAGACGCAAAACGACGCAAAGAGGAAATAGAAAAACGCAAGCAAGAAGCCGATAGACGTCGTCAATCCGGTGAATTGGATTCAGATGAGGAGAGAAAGCGTAGAGCAAAGGAAGAACGCAAAAGATTGAAAAAACTGAAAAAAGGTAAATTTCAAATATGATTTTTTTTAATCCTTTATACAGTACGTTTTCAACAAATTTTTAGTACAAAGAGTAGCAGAAAAGGTTTTGTCAGGTGGTAATGAGGATGAAATTGTTAACAATGAAGACGATGGTAATCCTGAAAACAAAAAGCGTAAGATTTCTACGTCTACGAAAGACGATGAAAGTGAAGGGTTGTGTTCTTCTGGCGATTCTTCAGTTGAGCAAACAGAAAAAATGTCTTCGATTCCGAGTTCGATCACGATAGCTCCGGCGCCTATTGCTGTGCGCTATCCACTTCATCCCCCTCACTTGACGCACGTGTATCCAGACGCCTTTCTGCCGTATCGTTCCATGAATCTTTTTATGCGTGGGCCTCGCCCCGATTTTCCTCACATAAGACCAGGATTTTTGCCGCGCGGTCGGGGTGGCATGCGTCTTCGGATGCCCTTCCCAGGTTTTCGTCCTCCGTTTTTTGTAACAGGGCCTCACAGGCATATTCCGCCCCAGCCGGTGCATCGGCCACCACATACGCCACCACCAGCGAGGGGTCATTCACCAATTTTGCCACCTAATACAGATCTAATGTAAGCCTTTCTAAGTTTCGAGTTTCTAGTTAAACTCCTTAATTACACTTTTTTTTTATAAGGTGGACAAAAAGCAAACCTTCTATTTCGTATGCATTTAAAGCAACTAACCGGGAGTACAAACTTCAGCACAACACTGCCGGTAATGAACACAAACCATTTTTTAACCAACACACGAGTTCACCAAAAACCCATAATTCCGAGGAAGAAGACGTTTTGCCAAAAATTATGTCCAAAAAATTGTCGCAGTCAAAAGAACGTACAAAATTGAAAAAAATTCGTGAACGCGATAATAAAAAACACAGAAAGAAGTCTATAGCGGTGAAGAAGAAAAAAGCGGAGAAGTCCAGTAAAAGAAAGATAGAAAAGATACGTAAGTCGTATGGACAAAAAGATAAAGCCACGAAAAGTGTGAAAGAATCGAGTGTAATGACTCAAGAGAAATTAATAGAAACGCCAACCATACCGGAAGTGTGGACCGTACTAGAAAATATCAAAATAGAAAAACTAGAAAATACTGAAATAAAAATTGAAGATATCACACTTAAAGTGAAGCCTTTGCCCATTATTCAAGTGAAAAGCGAAATTTTTGAAAACGAAGATAAGGAGGAACATAAAAAGGCATCGAACGAAATCCTTAGCAGAGAAAAAAGCGACGAATATGATATGTTTGCTGATTCCCCTCCTGCAACTCAGACAAAAAAAACTTCTACGCCACACAAGGCAGAAGTAGTCTACAAAATATCTGACAGCATCCCAACTTCAAACCTCTTAAGTGAAGCACAAAAATCGTGCGCGGAACAACGCAGTATTACACCACCATTGCCACAGCTAAATGAAAAAATTGGTAGTAAAGTGTCTCTGGAAAGCACTCTAGAAATCAAAAAGCGCATTGACAAGCTCTTACAGAAGGATGACTTGAGCATGGGGGCGATAGAAGCCTCCAAAGAGATTTTGTTAAAGAAAGCACTGAAGCATAAAAGTATGAAAGAGAATGCAACACAAGATAAAGACAGCAAATCAAATCAAAGCAAACAATTCAAGGAAAAAGATGATGCGCCCAAAAGTAAAGAAAAGGACACTCGCCATCATAATAGGGAAAAGATGCGTGAGAAGGAGAAAGAAAAAGAAAAGGTTGGAGAAACTAATGAGAAAGAAAAGAGAAATGAAGAGAAAGAAAAATACGTACCTAGGAAAGATAAAATTGACTGCCAAAAAGAGAAGGAAAAGGAAAAATCAAAAGAGTTGCAAAAAGTAACTAATATTTCCAGAGATAAATCCAGGGATAAGGAGAAGGAATTTGTTAAAGAAAGGGATCGTCAGCGAGACGGGAATCGTGAACGACCGGGTTCCAAAGTAGTACCACCTAACTATCGCAATCCTTTCAAACGTTCCATCTCGAAAGATCGTTTCTTAGGCCGCATTCACAGTAATCGTCGAACACGAACTAAGAGTCGAGAGCGGGAAGCTCGACCGAGATACAAGCTTTCTGTCGAACGTAAGTCAATTGATCGTTTATCTAAAAATTCTAGTAGAATGTCAAGAAGCGTTCATCAACTCCCTAACCGGCGTTCAAGCTCTCAGCATCGTTCCCGTTCGGGCGAAAAAATTTTAAAATCATCTAGGGATTCTTTGCATAGTGGCCGTGAGTACAAGCGCAAGGAAAGAGAACAAATATCATCACAAGAACGTAGTGCAAAGAGCAAACTTTCCAAATCGACATCTCCCCCCGTGGAAAAACGTATAGATTCAAAGACGATAAAAGCCACCGAATCTACACGATATGGCAGTGAAAGGACTAGTTCTTCTAAAACGATCAGGGAAGAAACAGATAAAATAAAGTATTCTAAACAAGATTCTCTGACGAAGAAAAAAAATGAAAGAAATGCGGCGAAAAAGCCGCTTTCATTTACGGCAGCTGAGTTTTTATTTCCCGAAGACGGCGACGATGAGGTGTTGGCAACCGATGATGAGAATACCGTTGATTCTTTCAGTCAAGCAGGCAATTTAAAGTCGCCCAGCGACAAAGAACAGAGCCCTGATACCGATGATTATATGGACAATTGGGAAAATGACGACGTAGACTTGGATAACAATTCAAACACTCCAGGCGGTGGTAGTTTAACCCCAAAACGTTCGTCACCAGATCTAATGTTAGAGGAAGACTCGTTTGTTGCCCGTTTTGCCAACCCCAGTCCGCCCTCAGAGTTGCTGCATCAGGCAAGCCAAAACGTGACAGAAGGAACAAAGTCTGTAATGAGGATAAGAACAACACCCGTTAGCACACCTCCAATAATGGAAAAAATCAGTAGTATGAATAAAACAATAGTTAACCCATACGCAAAGCAATCAGGCGAGATGACAAAAAAGAAAACTGAACTATTTGGCATGAAAGAAATTTACGATCAATTTATTAAAAGCGTTGAGGCATCTGGAGTCGATCTGAAACCGCAACCTAAGCCTATTGAGTTTGTGTCCAGATCGAGTAACGTTCAAATTGATGATATTTCGTTACAGTCATCATCACATAATGAGGATCCGTTGTCAAGATCTTCAACATCGTCAACATCATCATCATCATCATCGTCTTCCTCAGAGAGTAACAGCTCTTCCAGTTCATCGTCATCATCGTCATCATCTTCGTCGAGTGCCTCTTCTTCAGAAGACAGTAATGATGCGGAGACTTTTGAGAAGTCTTTAGAAAACTTACCAAAGAAAGCGAAACATGAGGATGGCGACTTTGCGCTCTGCAATTCTGTAGAATTAAAATCGAAACCTTTATCGTTAGATAACGTTCCGAAGGAAATTATACCATTAGCTGAACTTGAAAAACATATTAAGGAAGTGTCACCTAAAATAGATCCAAGTCCTCGCACACCATCCCCACCTCAAAAATCGTTAGTACCGCAGTTACCACTGGCGTCAACACCTGCACAAACAACAGTCGTGCAATTTTCAAATACCGCTCTTCCACCGTCTCAAGGCCCGTTAACATCCCAACCATCAGTTGCTACTAATACACAAGCCAGAGCTCCTAGATCTGACGCTACCAAAGATTTTAAAAAGTTAAAAAATTTGGAAGCTAATCTAGCTCGCATTCAAATGATGAAGGCCAATTATGATTCTTCAGATGAGATTAGTGAAGAGCTGCATAAAATGGAAATGTTGCTGTTAAAGGAGAAGAAACTCATTTTGCAGAAATATGCGAAGTCACCGATAAAGACTGACAAAAACACGGCAACTACAACGGCTCCTAACAAATCTTTAACAGGTGGTTTGTTTGTGCCTTCTTTACAGCAAGCTGAGACACCGTCAACTAACGCAGAGAGTGTTGCCGTTCCCGTGCAAACGCCACAACCTCCCATAGTCGCGGAGGAAACTAACAGAATTTTTGACACTAATCGGGAAGCCATAAAATTAACGATCTCGTCTTTGAAGCTGTCGAAAACACCAACGATTTTCAAAAGTTCATTTGACGATGATGCGGATAAAAACGCAAAGATGGCCGCTGATAATGAAGAAGCCGATTTTACGGAGAAGTTAATTAAGCCGGTGAAAGAAATAGCTATTGTTAAACCCATAATGGAATCGAAAGAATATCGTTCAAGAGATTCACATCGACATCGACGCTCTCCGGGCTACACAAGCGGTCGTGAACGTCCTCGTTCACCATCACCTCGGTATCGAGAGCGTTCGCGGCGTTCATCTTCGCGATCACGTACAAGTCCTCAGCGGCGAGGGCGAGGACGCTCTTTATCAGTTAGTCCACCAAGACGCAGCTCTCGTTATAGCTCGCCCGTACGAAGAGTTGGGCAATCGTCAAGATTTCGTTCATCTGCACGACGAACACGAAGTCGTTCTCGTAGTGCTAGTACTAATCGGTCATTGCTTAACAGACGTGGTAAAGACTTAAGTCCTTCGAGACGCCGCCGCGGACCAACGCAGGATAGTCATTATAAAAAATTTTCACGTTCCCGAAATTCTCGTTCACGGTCACCACAAAGACCGCGATCGCCACGAACTCCGCCATCACGCAGACGTTCTTATAGTTCAGACCGTTACTCCAGGTCTCCGTTACCTTTTAAACCACCTTCACCACCTATGCGTCGCAGCATTTCCCCTACCGATTCACAAAATTCTCGAAGATCAAGATCTCCGTTGTCTCCAAGGCGGCCAAGAACGCCAAGGTCACCTCCATCTCCAGCCACCCGGTATGATGACCATAGACGTAGACGAGAAGAAAGCTTTGAACGACATTCATTGTCTCCACAGCAGCAATATTACATTTCGGAGACAGGTGGTTCAGCTGGAATTCCTTCGACCGCTTCTCCATATTATTATAACGTATCGCCAAATCGCATTTCTCTGGACGCACGCATTAATATTGTCCTCAATGGACCACCACCATCGGTAAACGAAGCTCCCACTTCTTATGAAAGCTATGCGGGCTACGGACAATATGGTGGTGCGGCATATATGTCTGTACCGCCGCAACCTATGCCTAATGACGGTGGTGCTTATTATACTAATCCATACGTCCCCATGGGACCTAGCGGGGAACCGCTTATAGCTCCGCACTTGCATCATCCCCATTCTCATAGTTCTTCTGGTCATCACCCATTAGGATCAAATTATACTAACTTAACCGCAATAAGCAATGTAATGACTACTGCGAGCCACACACATTCAAGCAATTATTATTATAATGAATTTTGTACTCCACCGCAAAGTAATACAACTACATCGGTTCTCAAAGAGCTGCCAAAAGCAGCAGCTGTGGCGGTTCAAAAAGGGAATGTATTGGAAATTGTTCCTTCCAATGTGGAAACAATTACAGACATCCATTCAGTAAAATCATCGACATCAGATTATCCAAAGAAGACGAAGCTTAAGAGCGCCATTTCATGGAAAGAAGAGGTCAATAGTCGTCACATTAAATCTGCCGTAATGCGTCTAAATTGCGAGAATGATAATGCCAAGAGAAGCATACTGAAACAGCGGGCAGCAGATGTAGAAATCAACAAATCCGAGTAAGTGTGTGATTAGAAATGTCCTTAGAAATAACCTACAACATGTATTTCGATCCGTTCGCTTTGATAAATGTAAAATTCTCTATCTCTTCGAAGCGTTAAGCTATTTTCGAGGAAGTTGATAATTTGGATTAACATATACGTGCAATTTATGAATAAATTGAATTTGATCGATATCTTTACACTTTACACATACTATGTATGAGGATCGATCTGATTAAAACGAAGTACATTTCGAGTCGGACCTAGTAGTCCATGTCTGCTACTATTGTTTGATCTTTTTAATTTTTATTTACTATAAGATGAAATATGGATTCGGCTAAAATTGTTTCACTAATCCCGTTTCCTTAGACTTTTAACATCAATGCTTAATTAATAATGATTTAATTTGAATTAAAAGGCAATTGTTTACTACTTTCAACTAATTATATTTCATTTTTGCAGAAAATCTGAAAAGAAAAAAGTTTATTTTGAGGATGGCATTTATCCGAGTCGTGACAGCGGAGATGAGGACCGCAAAATAATCGAAGAGAAGGTGAGACGTAAAGTTTTGCGTTTACGCAAGAAGCGTGGCATTGATATCCCAGCAGCTCGGCAAATTATTGAAGAAAGTCTTTCGCAAAAACCAAGATCCAAAATAGATCCGGTTTTAGAGAAACTACCTTGTCCACCACCACCACCTACTTTGGTTCCATCAAATTTTGAACAACCAATCTATTTAAAACCGCCTACGCCAGTACCTTTTTTGTATTACCATTTTGATGCCGTTGTACATTCAATGTTTGTGTCGCCATTGGAACGACCTATACCACCACGCTTGCTAAATCCCAAATGTATGCCACCTGGGCAGCAACAATTAACAACACCAACACAATCGGCTACGATCGCTGGTAACGTGCGATCACCCCTAAATGTCAATTCTTCGGGCGTTAAAAAAGAAGTTAACGTCACGATGAGTCGTAATCCGCGCGTTGGCGATCATCAATCAGCTAGTTCTTCTTCGAATATTCAAAGTCCCATACCGGTAACGATGAGTAAGGGAGCTGGACTAATGCCGTCATATCAAGGATCAATTTCACCGCAAATGTCACCGCTTCAAACACCGCCAACGCCAGCGCGTCACAACAGTTTACCAATGGGTTTTGTAGGTATGCGCCTTAACAATTTTTTGCGTTTGCCGCCCTCTCCATTAACTAGACCGTCAGTTTCATCATCTTCAGTAAAAAGTAGTAAAGCGAATATACCGGTCGTGGGAGGCACTGTTGTCTCAACAGTCGGTATAAGGCATCAAACTTTTAATATGACTTCGTTAGCCCCGGGGGTGTTACCACCGCCAGCGCCAGCTAATGAATTTAACGCTCCTACATACAATTCTCAAATACCTACAGTTGGGTATCCTATTCCGGCAAGACATCCTTACTTTGCGTCGTCACATGTAGCTGCGGTTACAATGTACGGCGTAATGCGCGGACAATCACCTATCCAACGTCCCAATTCGCAAGCCGATAAAGATAAACATGCCGGCAACACAAACGCTAGTCCTCAGGCCATGATAGCGCCCTACAATGTAAAAAAGGCTGTATAAAGTTCAAGTAAATACGAGGCGGTCCTTATTCAATCTTTATCATATTTTATGGCGGTAAAGTAAAAGAGAATTTATCGTTTTTAATAAAGCTACTATTATCATTGGAATGTAATTTTTACTATTACAATGGTGAACAACACACACATATACTCATAGACATGCCGCGTGCGCGCATTTGAACTTACGAGTCTATGTTTTAACGGCATTTATTTGAAGTCTTTTTTAACACTATCATTTTCATCATTTTTTTCCTTTTATAATGTGCGAATTCGAATATTCTGCGTATTATACAATGATATGTTCATTTAATTTCAATGTTTTTCTAATTGTATTATATTATCAGATCATTTACACAGAAGAAGTATTTAATTCGTGCACTTTTTTCTCCAAGTCGAAATAATAAATATTGTTAAACAGTTCCACGTTGAGTACACTGTGAAGAAAGGAGAACCGAGTTTGGATTTGGTTTTTGATTAGTGTTCATTAAATTAGTTGTAATTATCTGAGAACTTAATCTATACATGTATTTAGTTTTTATTAAAAAAATGGAAATACACTTTATCAAATAAAAAAAAAAAATAAAAAAAAAAATGAAAAAAAGATTAAACAACATAATCATTTATTAAAATATATTGGCTTAATTGTATTCATCCTATTCAATTAGCCACTGTGATGTAAGTCGGGTAGAATGATAAACAAAAAAAGATTTTTTTTCAAAAAGCCGCCGATTGCATGGCACAGTTTTTATCGTTATGCGCGTACTCTTGCTAGAGGGTAGGTAGACAAATTTTTCTGAAATTATATATGTATGTTCTTAGATTACTTACACAAACTTGGGGCCCCAAGCTACTCGAATTACTGATATTATTATAGGGCAATGGCAACCTGAGTTTTCGCAAGGATAGTAGAAAAAAATCATATGAAATCGTGAACTTGTTACAAACTATATTTATTTCATTCCGCATTTCTCGTCTCATTTATTCCCTTCAATGGTTACTTACCATGTGTTTTAGATCTAGTTGCACGCACATGCCGATGAGATTATCAATTAACAAAGTGTTTGCAAAGGAAATCTGATTTTCCGGTGCGTTGAATGTTCAGTCTCTGTTACAACAAACAACTTTTGACATTTGAATAAATTCTCTTTGATCTCTTATAGAGTTTTTAATTAATTTCTTCATTAATATAATTTTCCATATTTTCGTAACGTGTTTGCTCAAACTTACACACGATGTGAGAGCATAGTTCAAAGCGCTTAGTGCATTCGAGAGTTCTTGCATTCAATCTAAGCCCTTAATAATTAATGTTCCTTTTTATGTTTTATAAGCTTTCTATTTATCCGTCAGTGTGGAAACTTCCAATCGATACTGTGAGCACTTCCCGATATCCATCCATGCGAAAATTTTGTATACTCCCTGCGTTACAACGACCATGCCACGTGCCCCATGTGATACTACCGAACGATTTGTCTTATATATATAAAAACACTCCGCCTTTACATTTAACCCAGGTTTCTATGCCTGCAAAAAATCAGTAGTCATTTTGGGCCAGATGTGTAGAGCATGATGGGAAAGCGTAATTCATTCAATTCACCAATCGTTTTCATCAACTTATGACAAGGAATATTGTTTTAGTGAAACAGCAGTTTTTGCTTTGCATGTGCATGTGAGTCCGTTTTTTCTTCGTTTCTATACTAAATCAATTCAATAGTGCTATGTAGCACTTGTAATTGAGACGTTGCCTCTGTTCAACGTAGTCGATGAACACAATAGCAAGCGCGTCCCAAAATACGAATGCCATGACTTTGCCAGCAGGTTTCTGAACTTTTCTGCTGCTTTCCATTCGGTCGACTACAGATTTAACTCAGGAGTATGGTAATGAATGAACGTTCAGTATCATCGATAGCAGTCAGTAATAGTTGATATTGGTGATACACATACCACATATGAAATTCGATTTTATCCTTTCGCTTTGAAAATTACAAATTTGGTATAACTGGAAAGTCTTGTAAACTAATTGTCAGAAGGATCTGAAATTTTGATACGTCTCATTTGAAAGCTAGTACTACTCAAGAAACATAAAGGTCAGTGAATATCGTTGCCATAGACATGTCAGAGCGTCGTGGCTCACGAGGCTGACATAATGAAGTGTTATTTCTACTTTCGGGTTGGGGCTACAACTTTGCCGACTTTTTATTCCCCAATCATATGGTCTTGCATGTATATATATATATATATATATACATATATATATATAAATAAAATGAAAAGAAAAAAACACGCAAGATATGATAAATTTTATGATTATTTATCTGATTTAGGTTTATCTTACACTAATGCACATTTTTTTTTCATTACGTGGTTTTGGTTTATACATTATTGTATTTAATCAATAATTAATCACTAAATAAACAATCACGTTTACCATTTAATTGTATTATTAATTACGATATAAATAAGATTGAGAAGACTATAAGGTCTCTTTCAGTACAAATAATTGAGAAAAAATACTAGATAGGATAACTCGGACAATTGTTCAGTTCAAAAAAAATTAAATATAATTACTTAATTAACATTACGCATTACCCTAAGGATTATAAAATTTATTTTATTAAAGAGTGATAAGTGGCAATTTCCAAATTATGGATCAATTAATACACAAGAGAGCTTTCGATGGCGGCATGAATTTAAGGAACAAATTATGAAGATAAACAATATTGCCATTTTTTATAAATTTATTGTTTATGTTTACGTTGATTTCTTTATTTTTGGTTCTAAAATCATATGCTTTTGTTTCCACTTTCCTGTAGAACAATCTGGTGACGCGGCTGCCTATTGCGTTAACATACTTGCGAATTTTTGACCCGATAATTAAAATGATACCTCGTTGTGCCAATCGCCTTATTGATTGATATGTTATATATATATATCTATATATGTATATCGCTGCTTTACAAACAACCAAACGAGTATAATATGCGAGAGTGATTTGTGAAGAAATAGACAATTTACATCTTCATATGTTCGACGCTTTGGAAATTTTACAACAATATGTTAAAAAAAAAACAATGTGGATAACATTTGCCGATCATTTTGCGGGATTTCACAAAGTAAGACCCACATATGAATTTAGAAAGTTAACCGAAACTACTAAAACGTTTTTGTTATATCACTAAACGATAAACTCTGGGCAGCTCTGATTTTGAGAAATCGCAAACGATAGGAACAAGAAGAAGAAGAAGAAGCACAAATAAATTGGAGTACGGATCAATTTTTTTTTTTGCAATTTGAAGAGGAAATCTCTTATATGATAAATTAAAAAAATTAATATCGTTTGAATGATTATCGATTATCACATAAGATTGTATTTAAATATTTGGCCTTCAATCTATTCGCAAAGACGATAAAGCGCACACAGCAATTCTGAAGGTTTATGCCGACAACTAGGAAACCTGGCCACGTAGAAATTCTGCATTTAAATAACAATTGCCAAACCGTGTAACAAAAGTAAACAATTAGGAGCCGCTTCTTGTATACAAATGGCGGCAGCGTATATATTTGAAGTACTTACGTTATTGACTATTCTATTTAGTAATTGCCTACGAGGGGCAGCAGATGAGCATACACATAAGGTAAACATTTAAGTACAAGATGGAGGAGATAAATATGCATTATAATCCTTAGTACAATGATGGCGAGGAAGTGGTGTTATGGATGAATACTGTGGGTCCTTATCATAATCGACAAGAGACTTATGCTTATTTTAGTTTGCCATTTTGTCGCGGATCAAAAACCAGTATCTCACATTATCACGAAACGTTAAGTGAAGCTCTGCAGGGTGTGGAATTAGAATTCAGCGGCTATGAAATTGATTTCAATCGTAAGTTTCCAAATGACACAGTAATATAATAACTGTGGATCACGTGAAGCATGCATGCGAATGAATTGTCTCTTAAAATAGAATTCCCTTTGAAAAGCACAGAAAAATTTTGCTTGCTTTATTCGAGCATGAAATTCGAACGGAAACAGCTTATAAAAATAAAAAAAAAATTATAAAAGTTTTTCGCCAAACTACTTGTAGTTGTTTCGAGAAGTTTGGCAGAAGCAAGATGACGTAGGGGTGATGGGGGTTTGTCGTATGATCACGCCTAGAATGAATCACGAAATGAATCTTGAGGTAAAAAATGTGAGTTTCTTCTTAGGTATGGGTATATGTCAATGTTTGTATTCAGACGTACGTATTTGTGTTCAGAATTTCACATATACTAAACGCTCGAAATTGGTTTTATATCTTAATCATATCTATTTCATGGAAAACGTTTTGTTTATAAATGCATTATAAAAGTCATAGGAAGAATTGTCGCCCACTTCGACTTTTAATTTATTTATTTTAAGGTGATGTGCCCCCGACGGCATTTTGCATGGTTCATTTGAATGAGGATAAAGTTAAAGCCTTCACATATGCTGTCATAAATGAGTACTGGTATCAAATGTATATCGACGGTCTGCCAATATGGGGTAAAGTTGGTGAGAAAGATGAAAATGATGGAAAATATTATATATATAGCCATAAGAAATTCGATATTGGTCGTAACGGCCAGCAAATTGTTGATATTAATTTGTCTACCGAAAAGAAGGAACTCTTGGTGGCGGGAGCTAAAATTAAATTCTCCTATGAAGTTAATTGGAAACCAAGTGTTGTAGAGTTCAAAGATCGCTTCGATAAATATTTGGATCCTAAGTTTTTCCAGCATAGGGTAAGTATGGTACGTAGTTTTGTTCTCAGTTTCTTATCTTTGACATATTTATAGATTCATTGGTTCAGTATTTTTAATAGTTTTATGATGGTTATATTTTTGGTGGGATTAGTATCCATGATTTTAATGCGCACATTGCGCAAGGATTATGCTCGCTATAGCAAGGATGAGGAAATGGATGATATGGTAAGTTCGCATTGAAATTTATATATAATATCGAATGGTAAACTTGTATCAAAACTTTTTCAAAAAAGGAGCGTGATTTGGGTGACGAATATGGTTGGAAACAAGTTCACGGTGATGTTTTTCGTTCACCGCCACACTCCTTAGTCTTTTCAGCCTTAATTGGTGCTGGTTATCAATTAATATCTGTTGTGTTTTGCGTTATTTTGTTTGCAATTGTAGGGGAATTATATACCGAGTAAGTGCTTTTTTAGTAAATTTTCAAAACCATTTTTTTTTTTTTTGTAATTTTATTTTTCAACTATGCAGACGTGGTTCGATGTTGTCTACAGCTATATTTGTGTATGCGGCTACTTCACCTATTAACGGTTACTTCGGCGGTTCTTTATATGCCCGCTTAGGCGGACGAATGTGGATACGGCAAATGCTAACATCAGCTTTTATGGTGCCTGTGTTTGTTTGCGGTACTGCATTTTTTATAAATTTCATAGCCATCGGTTATCATGCCTCGCGTGCAATCCCTTTTGGTACTATGGTGGCAGTTACCTGTATATGTTTTTTTGTCATTTTACCATTGACTTTGGTGGGCACTGTAGTAGGTCGCAATTTAGATGGTCAACCCGATTATCCATGCCGTGTTAACGCTGTTCCCAGACCTATACCTGAAAAGAAATGGTTTATGGAACCGGTCATTATTATACTGTTGGGCGGAGTTTTACCATTCGGCTCCATTTTCATAGAAATGTTCGTTTTCTAATAAATAAGTACTACCTACTCACCTAATAATTATATATTTTTAGGTATTTCATCTTCACTTCATTTTGGGCTTATAAAATCTATTATGTATATGGTTTCATGTTGTTAGTCTTTACAATATTAACCATTGTTACGGTGTGTGTAACCATTGTTTGTACATATTTTTTGTTAAACGCTGAAGACTATAGGTGGCAATGGACCAGTTTCATGTCAGCTGCCTCCACTTCTATTTATGTTTACGCCTATTCATTCTATTACTTCTTTTTTAAAACAAAGTAAGTTCAAAAAATTATTGATAAGAGAGAAATGATGTCTGAAGTTATATTTTCTTTTATCATTCAATTATTTCTTCATTTCAGAATGTATGGTTTATTTCAGACGGCCTTTTATTTCGGTTATATGGCGTTATTTAGCGGTGCTTTAGGTATTATATGCGGCACAGTAGGCTATGTCGGCACAAGTTTTTTCGTACGAAAAATTTACTCTAATGTAAAAATAGATTAATTATTTCTTCTTCAAAATCCTGTTTCCTTCTTTTCAAAAATACACACAAGTTTTACCCTTCAATAATTTAAGTTATCCTTTTTTTCAGTTCCCGTCTTTAATCTTTTCCAATATGTCTTACAATTCTTCATTATAATATTT